CAGCCTGACTTCACAAGCATTGCAAAAACTGAGCTGTGGGAGAAAGGCTGAGTATTGTGGAGGAAGGGAAGAAGAGCATGAGAGCTTAGACTGTTCCTTTCAGAACAAATAATGCATGCTTTTCAGCAATTACATGGTAGAAGTAGCTCAATATAATCTTCTAGAATTTTTTAGTTAAAGTTGAGGTTTCTTGATTTCAGCCTTAAAGATGTGTGTTCCTCAGAGCCATCTCTGTACATCTCCGTATAGTTGCTGTACATTCAGTAAAAAACATGCTTACCTCCCACTTTATTCTTGGAAGGTAATGTTCCCTTCCAAAACCTCTTCGCTACATCCAAATGGGTTAGAGTCATCGACTGCTCTGAATGACCACATAGGGAACGGTACACAGGTCCTGGCAGCAATTATTCCACAAGTGTGTTTTTAATGCCTCCAAGACAATTAGCTAAATTTAATTTGATGGGAAATTCTGTGCTGTGCTTTTAAAAAATCTTACACTGCTAACATTAACACATGCTGTAGTGAAAGATTAGTTGGTGTGTTTTCTCATACCAGGAATTTTTGTGGGTAACTAGTATAAACCTACCAGCTACAGAAAGAAATCTCTGCAGATAACTTCTGCTAAATATTTGTTTCTTATTTTTAATATAATCTACTCAAAGAAAAATAAATCTTGCTTTTTGTGTTTGCATGCAATTCTCCTTTAGATAAACTTGTCTCTCTCTCTTTAGATAAATTTGTCTCTCTCTGTGACTGGGAGAACCCTAACTGCTCACCCCCACTTATTAAGAGGGAGAGATCATCAGCTATGTTTATCTATCCAGGCAACCTGGATATCTTATTTGGCTGGATAGCAAGCTAGCAGAGGCGTATCATATGCCACCATGAGACTATGTGGCTTAAATAAGTAGCTAAACTGAGTTATCTATCCTCACAGCACCCACTGGGAGGAAGAAAGGGGTAAGAAAATCAAACTCAGTAGGGCCCTTTCATTAGTTTAATTTTTATAGTTCAACATTGTTTACATAATAAAACGACAGCTAATTTTTCACTGTCTAAGAACAAGTGAAAAATATACCTCAGAATTACAGCATCATTGGATGGCAGATGCCACACTATTAAATGTGTGTAAGAGAAGTGCTTAAATCATTTAATTGTTGCCTTCTGAGAACTGTCCCTGCACCAAAATTTTTGCTTACAAATTTGCTAACTGAAGTCTGGCTTCTGAGTTTCTCTCTCTTCTATCTGACCTGGCTCTTATTTCTTAATTTTCTATTTGAAAACAGGAGGCCTTAAAACAGAAGACCATTTTTGACCACTGTGAACCTTAGCAATATACATCTGACTCTGACAAAGTCTGACACACAGAAAAACAGAAATGATAACTTCGAAAGACCAAATACTGTTTTTCTAATGCTATTTTCTTGGGATGCTGCTGTAGTAAGAGTTATAGTAAAAAATAGACTTAATAAGGGTTCTAAACAATCTTCTAGAAGACAGAAGAATTCTTTTGTTAAATAGTCTTTTAGAAGTGGATATTGCATTTTAAATTTCAGTAAATTAAATGAATTTGCTTAAAAAGAACAAATACAACCTATCACCCTAGAATGTACACAAAGACAGCTCTTCAGACTTGACGAATACCTACTGCTATGAGAAGACATGTCCTTTGCTTTTCCACTTACTGTGAAAAGCTTACCAGGCTCTCTTGCATAACTGCATATATAGGCCTTTGTGGTGCCTGGCTTTACAGCTGTCATTGCCACATGGATGCACCTCAGATTGGCCAGAGAAATAAAAAAGCATTCGAACTTTTGAACTGCTCTAGGATATGGAGACCAAAAGTCTGAGTGTCCCAGTGACCTCAGGGCATAAACTCTAAATAAGATCAGTTCCACATCCCAAAGCTTGTGGCTGAAAAGTGTCATTTTCACACTACACGTAAAGCCACTGTTTGACTAGTAGTATAAAAACTGACGTCCCTGCAGGAATATGCTTATTTTCTGGCTGAAGAACAAGAAAAATGAATGCTATAATTCTAGCATACAGAGACCCATCTTCCACCCAATATGGATGTGGGAGGAAGAATACTGAGCCATCATTTCATTACAAAACACGTAATTTTGTTCTGGCAGCTGGTAAGACCCCAGCTGTCCCTTTCACTTTCACCCTGTGACAAACACATGGTGAGCTGTAAGAATTTCAAGCACTAAAATGGAAAAAAAAGATGAACAGTGAGTTGTTGAGAATGCTCATTTGAATGGGATGTCTTCCTAGCTGCCCCAAATGACTTGCTTTTCTGTTAGCCCCATTGCATCTACAGCTTTTGGCCACGTATTTACAAGATCAAATGACAGATTTCTTATGATTAAATGAAGACATTTCTTATGATTAAATGAAGAGGCATCAGCCTTTTGTCTTTTGACAAGTAACATCTTGGTGAGTAGCTGACATTTCTGCTTCATACCACTCAAATAAAGGAAATCACCAGTACAGGAGAAGGTTTTCTTTCCCAATGAGACTAAAAAAGTACAAGAAAACCATGTACGCATCATAAGATATCAACTTGTTAGGCTATTTGTCCTTAAAAGATGCTTCACTATTGATAGAAGGAGCACAGGGTAAGTGAAAAGGAATTGTGTATGACTGAATGTCTCAATTATAATTCATCACTGCAATGAAGACGATGGAAAATAAGTCCACTTTGATGACCTACCTAGGGATCTAGTAAGGGCAAGTCAAGAGCTGGGCTTCAGGAGGGAAAAGCACTTAGATGGAAAGGAAGGGGAGGAAACAGTTGCTCTTATATGCTATATTTGTATACTACAGTATGGAATTAAATATTTCACAATTTAAAAGTGATCTGCAGTACAATGAATCAAGTTCAGTAGAGTGTGCATTACTCTGTTGGAATCACTTCACAAGTGACAGCGCATGTCCCCCCTACTGAAATAATCTCAGAAGGAGTAGCCATTATATCATAGGAAGCTTCTGCAGTACACTCTTTTTGACACAGTGTGCCTCCAAATGCTAGGAAGCTTCTTATCCTCTGCAGAGGCCAACCTTAAATTGTATTTTGTTCTTGATACTGAATGAAGAATGTTCAGAGAAAGCACTGCAGAGAAACTTTCATTAGTAAAGTAGAAAAACACTGTCATTTCCTCCACTGAGATACACTTAGTATACTTACTATTCATACCATCAGAAGCAGCTGCTACAAAATACAGACCTTAAGAACCAACCTTCTATCAAAAGATTTTGTTTATCTAAAAAGACAGTAATTTAACTCTACAAAGCAAGTATGAACCAATGTCTTCCAGACTGCCGTTTGAAATCATGGTTATTTCTCTGTAGCTATAAGGTTGATTCTTGCAGAACAAACTGTGTAGCCCCTCTAGATTGAGGCTTCCCTTGGTCACCAATGGATCATTGAACAAATACTGCATTAATCTTTGTAAGCTTAGGCCTAAAGAAGTAACGCTTTAGTTTTTAAAACAGCTGGCAGCTCCCATAAGATTTTGGGGAGGGCTGTGGAGGACAGAATGGTACAGGGATTACAGAATAATAGCTCAACCATCACAGCTTGACTTGAGGTTGTTGCATGACATGAAAAAAATTGTCCTCAAGTACCTCAGAACAGATGTGGCACTAAAGAGTCTATCTGTGACAAGCCTCTTTGTTTCTGCAGCCATCAGTAAAGACAGCAGAGGAAATGGAGGAGCTGCAGTTATGCATTTGCAATACACAAAGTCCTTGTTTTCCCACTAGGCACTGCAGAATAGCAATTGTCCATTCACAGCACATATCACATCCTCTGCATTTCAGAGCTAATATTTTTGCAGTCCTTAAGCAGGCATGTTTGAGCCTAGTATGGTTAATTTTTGTAACCCTTTCAGGTGCACTGCATGAGGTAGGTGTGCTCATGTTCTCTTCCTTGTCATGTAGGTAGTTTCAGCAGATATAAATTTTAAAGTTAAACTAAAAGATTTTTGAATTCTAGGGGGTTTACATCTCAAAGAGAGCTGTCTTCTTTCACACATTGGGAAAATGATTGCTAGATGCTAAGCATACCTGTATTTTAATCCAATTAACAAAAGACATTGGCTGTGTTGCCTGAAATTATTTTTAAGACCACATACACACAAGCTCTTACAAGTGGCTCCTCCCCTTGTATGTTAGAATCACGCTCCTGAAAACAATGTTAGTTTTATGCTAGCAGTTGCGTTCGCTTCCTGCAGCACACACCAGCCACTGTGCTGCTGCAATACTCATTCAAGGCAGATCACTGGCTCAAATATGAATTGAGCCTATATGCTCTTAAACTGGCATCAGGCTGCATTACTTCAACTTCCAATTAATTTCCACTTTTCTCAGGGTGAGTAGCAAAAGCTATCTGAAAACTGGCGTTAATATAAAATTATGAGCTTGCATCCTTTACACCGTGGATCTGCTCATCAGTCAAAGCACAAGCTTCCTAATTTCAAACTTATGAACTCAAACAAAGTTAAAAAAAGAAAAAAAAGGTAGATATAGTCCTAAAAATTGAAGCTGATAATCTCTTCTGTTCGATCTGTTTATTTCCAGCTTCTTTCTCTGCTCTAACTCTTAAACAAACTCACAACCCCCCCGAGGATACAAATGAGTTTGTTTTCTTTTCCCTTCATCTAAGCCAACAGAGTGCCAGGTATCCTCTTCTGTCATAGAGCAGTCAGAAAATACACACAGAAAGCAATCACACTTCCCTTTGCAGATCAGAAAGGACTACAATAACAGATTATTTCTGAAATCTCCTTCTGCCATCACAGAGTTAAACCAACATAAGTTAGAATTCTCACCCAGTTTGAATAAAAAGGGAGGAAATTCAAAGTCTTGTTGCTGTAGTAACTGTCATCAGCAAAAAATCTCCCAATAAATAATGGTATTATCTCCCTCTCCCCCTCGCAGTTTTAGTTCCCCTTCAGAAATAATCATGCTGGCTCTTTTAGATTTGCTGTACATACCTCAACCATTAAACAAGACATTTAACCATAGTGGCAGTTCTGTGACCTTTGAATGCTGTGAAATCTGTAAGCGGTGCAGCTTGTTCATGAAGACTTGTACTGCAGAATCCAGTAACTGCATCCAGGATTAGGAATACAAGTAAATAACAGCAGCAGCAGCTACAACAACAACAACCAAAAAAAAAAAAAAAGGAAAAAAAGAAAAAAAAAAAAAAGGAAAAAGAAAAGGAAAAGAAAACCTCCCCAAGACCCCCAACCCAGCCAATAAACCACCTTAAGAAGCAAAAAAAATCGGAAAGAGAGTGCACTTTTCTGCCAGTGTACGGACTGGGGTAGAGCTGAGCTTGCTGCAGTCAGCCTGTGTTAGCAAGCAGAAGGCCGTGCACGGCTGGGAGGTGCTGTCAACTGCCACAGGCAAGAGAAAGCAGACCAATCCGCTTCGGCACTGTCAGCTCGCTGGAGTGAAGCCTTTTCTGTTTATGTTTCCTCATTTCGGGAGTGACGTCAAAGGGTTTAGTCTTTCCTCTGCATGTGCTATTAATTTTAAGCGACTACTATGGGAAGAATGTGACAGTGATTTAAGCAGGCTACCTTACTAAAAGAAGCCAGAGGCATAATTTGTCTGTCCTGGATTTAGCTTAGAAATACTTTATAATGAGAGGTACTAGAACGATCCAAAATATTCACACTATATATGTGCTTTAAATATGCACACAATATGGAGACAGCTATAAATATGCACATATGTAGAGTAGAATTCTTAAATATTCCTAAGATATTTCCCAGATACAGTTGTTATTTGTTTGGGTTGTGGTGCAAAATCAGACCTGATTCTGGCCTTGCCCAGAAGGAAATCAGGAACTGCTTCTCTGAATTCAGTGCTGCTACACCAGTGTAAACCTGGCAAAAGAGATAAGACCAAGCTACTGTACACATCCCTTTATCAGTAAGCACAAGCTATATTGCAAATTAGCAAACTCCTTTCATTATTACATTATGGTCTGCTTAAGATCTGCTGCTCTGGGCAAACATCCATTCCATCAGCCAGTCGCAGCCCAGCTGTGTTCTCCTTAAAACTCTGCCGTGGACTGCTACGAGGGTTTTATTTCACACCAAAGTCTGTGTCAGAAGGCAAGAGGCTGACTTCTTGTGTTGCTGCATCATTGGCAGAAGGGATGCTATGCAGCTGAAGCAGAAGGAAAAAAACAAGTAGCATATGTCAAGGTCAGTTAGCACAGGCAAGAGAGGCCACACCAGCACAATATAGCTGATAGGAGGTCAGCTGGTAACAACAACTGTTTAACTGTCTTCATCATTTTAATTTTATTGATTCGCTCTTCCAGGGGTTCCTTGCAAAGAGATTGGTATACTATGCATGGCTTTCTCCAAACAACTCCAAACAGTCTAACAATTAATTTCAAAATTCATATAAATGCTTTTGGAAGGGGATAGATTGACAAATTTCAGTGATCCACAGAACAGGTGAAAAAAAATGTTTAGTGGGAGCTTCTCCAGGAGAATACATCCATGACAATCAATTGATACTATCACAAATTGTCCTGTAAAGGCCAAAATATTAATGATTAATTTTTTTTTTTTTTTTAATCACATAAAATTCTGCCTGTGGTGTCACTGCTAACATAACCATCTTCAGCAAGAAATACAAAGGGTTGTGGTGTTGTAAGTGCTGGAATAACATGTTAAAAATATATTAAGTAAGTTAGCGATTTACAAAATCAATTAGAGCTCATTATCTTCATCTGACTGTGCTTAGAAAACTGTATGAAGCAATCTGGAACATATAAATAGCCGTATTATCTCTAATACAAAGAAAATTATCACATTCATCTTCACTCAGCATTAGTAAGGGCTCAGCCAAGTACTGCACGTTGGGAATTCCTCTTCAGGGACCAGTTTAGGGAACATCAGCTGAAAGCAATATAGTTCTCCAATGAGAATGATCACATCTGAATGATCTCATATTGTTTAGTTCTATCCTGGTTTCAGCTGGTGCGTTATCAACGTTTTTCTCTGAAACACAGAATCATACCAACTGATATGATGGAAAATCAACTCTACCTCAACTGAAAAAGAGTGTTGTTAACTGTTAATAACTGTTTAAAGTGTACATTTATTCAAAGTAAAAAATGAGAGAGCAAAACTCCAGACATAGGCACTACTAGAGTTAACTCTTTGTACTGGACACATTATTTGGCCTCTAAAATCTTTTAGAGGCTTCATAGCAACATTTATATAACTGTGACTTGTCTCAAACTCTGCTGGACGTTTCTTAGGAGAGCCCCCTACAATCTATGAGGACCCACATTAGGAATGTGACATTATAGGCAATCAGGGTCCTCTGTCCAGACATGTTATGGCTCTGTACAGAAGTAGGTAACTGGCAATGAGGAGAGGAATATATTTTTTCCATATTCACTGTGGTTAGAACAAATAAATTGCAGCAAAGGTAAGTTATCAGACGTGAGAGAAACTGAAGGTAGGAGAGTGAAATACTGAAATAGCTTGGCAGTGATAGTCCAGAGTGTCCTATTACTAGCTATTTTTAAAAGTAGGGTTAGGCAAACATCACTCACGAACAGTTATAATATAGGTGCTACTTTGGAATATAGGCACTAGGGGATTTATGAATGTCTATTTAATCCCATTTTTTTCTTCCATTTTCTATACTTTAGTGTTGATCTTATTAATATTGCACTGTGTTTTACGAGTGAGGGTGCTGGTATGTTTTAGGTCTATGCAAAGTCTTAGATACTATCTCTGAGGCCACCTCAGTCTCTGGAAATCACATGGCCCTCTGAGAAGAAATGGCCTTTGTGGTTTTTGTGATGGAGATACTTCCTGGGTTAAATGATGGAGTTGCCTGGAAGCACATAATGTTGCGGTTTCTACTTAGAGAAAGACAAGATCAAATGAGTACATGTATGCAAAGATGGGAAACAGGAGCCTAGAAAAAAAGTCTGGAAAGATGAAAAGTTAATGACTATTTATGAAGGGTTGTAGAAGAAAGAAGAAAGCAAACCAACATATGCACAAATGTAAAATGTATTCATGTGAAGAGAAGGAGCTGGAAACTTTAATGCAAGATTAAAATTACAGCTTAATTGACATAACAGAAACTTGATAGGGTACAGTCATGTGAATATGTGACTAGAATACTAATACCAAAGAGCACATCTTGTTCAGGAACAACAGGAGGGAAAAGGGTGAAGGAGTTTATGCTATGTAATTTCTCATATGTGCTGAATGCGTCAGGAAACACGTACTGAAAGTATGACGGATAATACAAAAAAGAATATAGGCATTGTTAGATGATCTGCTCCAGATCTAGGAATCTCAAGTGGATAACTCTTTCATAGCAATTGACAGGGTTGTTTGAAGCATAAAGGGAGGTTTTGATCATGCAGCTCTTGGAAAAGAGCTGAACTAAGCACAGACACATTGGTTAATTCTCTCCAGAATAAGTGTTCAGGGAATCCCCCAAATTTATGAGCCTATCTTTCTAAGCAATCCTGCTCAATTAAGTAATTTCTTCCTTTTCTAGCCACGGCTTAGCACTGGTGGCACTCTGACGAGTCTTCATTGATTCTCTCTTCTCAGCATTGGTGGCACACCAAGACATGCTGTCTTCTACCATGGGATGGTATTTCTCTTCCTAAGCCCCCAGCAGTCTATCTCTTCTATTCACTGTAGTCTTTAGAAAGGAACTTGGATATTACAGAGAGACTGCTAAATCTCTCTCAAACAGAACATGCTCTTTATGCCCATTCTGTATGAAACCAAGAGAAACATATTCAAGTCCCAGTAAAAAATTGATTTGTGCATTATATAATGACAGGTCAAGGACCAAGGCATCTTCTTCCTAAAATACTTTCCACTTAGATTTAATCATAGAATTGCTCAGGTTGGAAAAGACCTTAAAGATCATCGAGACCAACCATGACCTAACCATACTACCCTAACTAACTACCCTCTGCCAAATCATATCCCTGAGCACCACGTGTGTAAAAAACACCTGAATGTTTTAAAATGCATTCAGGGATGCTGACTCAACTATCTCCCTGGGGAGCCTAGTCCAGTGCTTAATAACCCTTTCTGTAAAGAAGTGTTTCCTGACATCGTTCCTAAATTTACCCTTAGGCACAACTTAAGGCCATTTCCCCTCATCCTGTCACCTGTCACCAGTGAGAAGAGACCAACCCCACTCTCACTGTAAGCACCTTTCTGATATTGGAAGAGAGCAATAAGGTCTCCCCTCAGCCTCCTTTTCCCCAGACTGAACAGCCCCAGTTCCTTCAGTCTCTCTTCATAGGGCATATTCTCCAAGCCCTTCACCAGTCTTGTTGCCCTTCTCTGGACCTGCTCCAGAACCTCAATGTCCTTTCTGTACTGAGGTGCAAAACTGAACACAGTACTCAAGGTGAGACCTCACCAATGCAGAGTACAGGGGCAGGATGACTTCCCTAGTCCTGCTCACTGCACCATTCCTGATACAAGCCAGGATGCCACTGGACACACTGCTGGCTCATGTTCAGCCCACTGTCAGTCAGTACACCAAGATCCCTTTCCATCAGGCAGCTTTCCAGCCACTCCTCCCCAAGCCTGTAGGTTTGCCTGAGTTTTTTGAGACCAAAATGCAGGACTGGACAATTGGCCCTATTGAAACTCACACAGTTAACCTCAGCCCATCTATCCAGTCTATCCAGGTCCATCTGTAGTGCCTTTCTCTCCTCAGGCAGATCAATACTCCCTCCTAACTTGGAGTTGTTACTTACTGAGGATACACTCAATCTTATCTTTCTTCCCCCTGACTTTCTTTCCTTCTTAAATTCTACCTTGGCCATCTTTAGGAAGGGCTCAAGCATGGGACAACATGTTATGCTTTTTACAGCTATCAATAACATATGAAGGAATAAAACATTTTTAGAATGTGGGAATAAGGAGAAGAAGATGCATCCCTAGTAACCTGCTGCCATGGCTGAGAGAGTTCATATCTCACATTTCTTTCACATGCCTCACCTCCCCCAGAAATTTCTCTGAATTGCAAGGTGGGAGATGATATGCTAACTCCCAAATGTATTTGTTCTTTTCCTTAAGGTCTTAACAAATAAGCCTGAGCATGCTGAAGAACTCTATGATGAAACATATCCTTAGTTAACTCTGTAGCAGCTTTCTTTGTTGGGCCACAATAATGATGAAAAACTGGAAGACACACAGTCTGTATAGTCATGAAAAAAGAAGATGGACAACCTCAGTGAAAGTGCAGTGTAGAATAGATTTTTATATATCCCACTCCAGAAAAACATTCCACTTGCAGGTTAGTTTCTAAGTTATACAGGGTATATTATCATTAGGAAAATTTAAAGACAGACTTCTCCATCCCATGGAATGGCTGGATAGTGACTGGAAGCAGACATCC